TCACAGGGCCACACTTAGAGACAGACAACCAAGCACACTCACATTCACACCTACGGACAATTTAGAATCACCAATTAACCTCAACATGTTTTTGGACTGTGTGGGAGGAAGCCGGAGAACCTGGAGAGAACCCACGCTGCACGGGGAGAACATGCTAACTCCACGCAGAAAGATCCCGGGTGTCCGCACTGGGATGTGAACCGGCGACCTCCTTGCTGCGAGGCAATGATGCGAACCACCGCTGCCCAATCAAAGAACAATGAAATAAGTTTGCATTGGACAATCAGAAAGAAAAGAAGTAAAAAATAAATTCTCTATACCTTAATAATAGATTTTTTTTTATTCTCCTAAAAACTTTCCTAACCTCCCCAAAGTCTCTTACCCATCTTCTAGAGCAACCAGAGACATGTCAAAAATTAATTGTGTGCTATGTGGAGAGCTGTTCTGCACAACAAGCTTGGGAAGAGGCTCTTGCCGCACACTTACTGACAAGTGGCATTCCACACACAAGCTGAAAGTCATAAACAAAAGCCTGGAGAAGAGGGTGGCGAGAGAGAGAGAGAGAGAGAGGGGGAGACTTGTAGTGTGCTTTGAGTGTCTGTCTTTAGCTTTGTAGCTATTTAGATGGCTGTTTTATTGGGCAGTATGTCCTTCTGCCAGGATTACAGTAATCAGGCCTCGCCCGAAACAAGAAGATCCCAGGCCTACAAAGAGCAAAGGAACAGGCTTAACAAAGTAGTGTATTTGTGGGGAGGTTGAGGGGAGAACAGAGCAGTGCAGCATACTAAAAAGCAGAACCTCTCTGTACAATTGCATGTACTGTATTAGGATTCTTGTCTATATATATATATATAAACCACTGGCTAAACAGACCTGTGGCCCGTACAGGATTCAAAACCGCATCCTTGGCATTACCAGCAACACGCTGTCAACAACTGAGCTCCTTGTATTGCAAACAGCACGGTGACAAAGAGATGCGCATCCACTGGTTGTTTATTTTGTCAGGTAGCACAGCCTGTTGCCTAAATCTCAACTCCAAAGCACTGAGGCTCACACAGGATCAGCCTTGTAACTATCACGGCACGCACAGTATCTGGGCCAACCAGCCTTGACAGCACATCACACTTCACCACCCATCCTGACCTCAAATTGGGTGGGGAAGCTTACAACAGCGTAGCCGACTTTGGAAAGTGAGAATTTTCAACTGCTGGCGAGTCGACACTTAAAACTAGAGGAATAAAAGACAAAATGGAAGCACATTCATAGACGCAGATATCATTGTAAATCACAGCTAAGCAATCAATCTTCCTCATGATTACAACTGTTTTGGCTAATGCAGCGACTAAAGCCTCCTTGTGCATAGCTCAGTGTTTACACGTCCCCTCGATCCCGCACTCGGTGTCATAAAACATTGCGACAGAAGATGAGCGCGGTATTCCCCATCAGCTACCAGGTCTAACTACCTAATTGCTATAGATTGCAGGGAATACACTCCAATAATCAGGTCCACAGGGCTGCAGGATTTGATTTAGGCCTGATCTATTGGACATGTGAGGGGAGCATCTGGGTTCAGCTACAAGCACTGAAGCCATGTTTCTACAGTGAATGTGGGTCATGCTAAGCTACCACAGTGACTCATTACTACATGGTGTCATGCATTACATTATGACATACCACACAACATTACTGAGCCGGATTACGACAGGAGCAGTATTTTTACAGACATTTCTTTACATTGCTCCTAACTTTGAGGCACAGTCTGGTTTTAATCTACCAACATGGCCCTCCCAGCTTGAGATTCACTGGACAAATGATAGGCTAGGGCTGCGTAATATTTCAAACGTGGTGTCCATTTGAAAACAGAGGCAGCGCAGTCTTGGCTGTCACCCCTAACTGGTCTCCACCCACCCAGTGAGCCACACCAAAGCTCAGAGGAACCCAACATGTCACCAGAAGAACACTATTTAGTGTGTGGTGAGCAGTGGATAAGCGGCCGTTTCAAAGGGCTTTTGTTGACAGGCGGGATTTAAGCCCTGGAGGAATTTTAATATGAATAGAGCAACTCAATCAGATCACAATAAATGACCACAGGAAACTGCAAACCTCTTGATCATCGCAGTGCTGGTCTTTGCACTGACTTCAAAAGGGTGGAGACAGTTTCTGAAGCCAAGACTGCCGTTGACCCCGAGCTTTACTCATCCTCGGACTGCTAAGAATGTGGGTGCTCGCGTAAGCCTCTGAATTGAAGGCATCTTTGTGATTGTGTGAACTACGATGACTTCCACATACCACTTTTAAAGTGTTGTTCTTGGGTCAGTTCTGGGTCTAAATTTGCACATGTTCACAGCTGCTAAACAAGCGTTGGTATGCGATTTCTCAGACCCACCTGCAGAAGAGCAGCGGTTTTTCTCTCCCAGCTGTTGCTGAACTATGTTGCTAAGCCATGTCTTAGCTGAGCGGATCAGTGGCCGGGCTGTGGGTGGACAGTGACTCCAGAACTGTCCTTCTAAAAATGAACGGTATGCTCTTCTGCTCAAACGCTGTGTACTCTGGCACCCCCCAAGCTCAGTCATTGGTAAACAGACAGCATTTCCTCGAGCCACGACTGGCATAGCAAACTTATTGCCTGGTGACAGCTACTTTAGAAATGAGGAATTCCTGGTATTTCTCCAGTGAACCGATGAAATCTGGCCATACCAAATGTTTTCATGTTGATGACAAAGGGATAATAAGATGCTAAACTACCGCCTCACCTACACAAGCATTTACATAACTAGAAAACAGCAGTGGCACTCATGAAGGATTCTGTGTCTACATGACTTACACCAGTGCTTACATTAAGCAGTAAATAGAGCGAGGAAAACTGATCCGTGCTCCTAGGACAGCCTTCTCCAAGTGTTATTACAGGGAGGAGGCATTAAGCATCTGTATTTGCAGCCGGGCCACCCTGGTTATTTGCTAAACAAATTACCAGTGGAGACTTTTTGTGTACATGCATGTGTGTGTGACCCCCTAAATGTCCCGACTCAGCCTTGTGTTGGCTAAGTGAACTGGACATGCATGACACTAGACAATACGAATGAAGATCAAAGCGCTCTTTGTGTTTAGGCCGACTTTTGAAGACTTAGCAAAGCTTAACAGTTTCCTTCGGGCAAGTTTCCTTTCGGCTGTGCAGAAACACAACTGCTGCAGTAAACAGTGTAATTAAATCACGGTTTTTTAATACCTGTTTAGACTGATCTTCCAGCTGACTGAAGCTGTACAGTGCTGTCGCTGAGGAATGCTATGCATGACTACTTGAATTTGTAGTTTGCTGCTGCAGTACAGGAAGACTTTCTCAACAATTAATGACTCCAGGGCAAGTGTTAACCCCCCCAGCAGTTGTGGTATTTACTGTGTTTGTGTTTTGTATCAGTAGAACTTTGAATATAATCACGGTTGAGAAGTCTACAGGCTGGTTAATGGGTTGTAAAACAGCAAATCTTGTACTGGCATCCTTGAAAAGAGTCAATGAGTTCAGAAAGTGAACACAACATGACAAGTAAAAGCCTGAAGAAGTTTATATCCCGTCCAGTTATTGTGTGTTAAATGCAGGGAAGGTGTAGCAGAGACAGCACACGGTCTCATTTCGAGATACTAAGTCACATAAATGCGTAGCTGAAGTAGTGACTGAGTTATAGCAGGTAGCTGACAGTGTTGGCAGCTTCACTGGGTTAGCTCAGGCGCCACGTTAAAGCCATCTCCCACTACACTGGAATATAACACAAAAATACACTCAAGCCACAACTATATACACAAACCAAATATTTTTTTCATTTCATTTCAAATGTTTAGCTAACTTTTACTGCTCACCGAACCCAACAGTTAGCCAAACAAACATCTTAGTGATATTTAAAACTTTGTCAAAAACTTAGAAAAATGTCCTCAACTCACCATGTTTAGACTTTTCTCCAGCTGAATAACCTCTATCCCTTCGCTGTAACACGGTGCCAGTGTTAAACGTGACACATTTCCGACTTCAACACAACTTTGAACACTTCAAAACACATCCAGTTTTTTCGCCCCTTCTTTTTAACTTGACTCTCTTCGATGCAAACTGAGTCCATCCATGGAAAGAGTGTTCCCGCCCCTCGGGAGCTGATTGGTCGACGGGCGGGAGAGGGCGGGCCGTGATTGGCTGCGTGGGACGTCAATCACACTTCCAGCGTCTTCTCCGGTAGGATGGCTGGGTCCAGCAGACCGACCACGTGACGTGTTGAGGTGGCTCCCGTCGGAACAGCTGTCTGCAGAGGATGTTGGACTGAAGTCGCGCATATTATCTCTTATGACTTGAATACGAAACTCCGGATAAGTGCGATTCTGGGAAATTACGGATTCCTCTGATATAACTTTCTGCAAACAGTGTTATTGAACAGGCCAAACAAGTAACTTTTTGCTTTTCTAGGTTGGTTTTAAGCTAAAAAGAGGGCAAACTGCAGCAAAATGATAGGTGTAGTTTAAATAACTTCCTTAGTTCTTGGCTGAATAGTAGTTTTGAACATATTTCAGGACGTTAGATTCTTTATTAGGCGTAAACAGGTCCCATTCTAAATCATACCAGCGTTGTTGTATTTCCTGTGTTACTTCTTCATCTACACTTGCTGAAAATCTTCAACTGGTTGCAGATTAACTCTTTAAAAAAAAGGTTTTTCCTCCAGACATCACACAAAAATCTTCCTGTCATTTTTACATCATAACTTGTTTATTTCTTCTTAATGTTACTCAAATAGAAACAGACACTTAATTTAGATTTGTTTGTAAAATAAGCCTTTTTATAATGTTTAAGTGAAATAAATCTAAAAAGGAAAAATGTAATAAATTCATGCATGTGTGGCCATGCCAAAATAAAACTAGGGAACTATCTTAAGAGATAATTATTCCTATTCTGCCACCTACAGGCAGAAGCTCTAATGCATAGCCTTAATTTTCCAAGTATGAACAAAACCAAGAGGGACACAGCATGTGAGAAAGCATTTTATTTTGTAAATCAAACTAACTCAAATGAATGTATTTGTCCACACATGATATTGCAACTGTCAGTATGTGGCATTAGACTTATAGGGGATCTCCCACCCATCTCATAATGTTATTGCTATAATGTCGTTACATGAAATGCAACGTAAAAAAGAATCCAACATTTTGCGATCTCAAAAATGTTTCAGTAAATGTTGCAGTGGAAGGTTTAACGGGAAAAAAAATCTATATATTTACTACTGTGGTGAAAATACTTCTCATGTTATAAACACATTTCCAGTCACTGAAGTTGTGAACAGCACAGAATGTGTACATATTTTTGTATTTGACTGAACAAACTGTAGTTTCAAGTCATCCTTGAGGTGGCTTAGCAGTTATCTTGATAATGCTGAGGAATAAAATGCAGCCCAGTTCTCTGTACATCAGCCATTGTTTCAGATATGAGTAAATCCTGATTTTACTCAGCAAAGATACACAGACACTTCACAGTCTTAGGGAGCACATCCGGCAATAAGAAGCACAGGATTATAAAAAAACAAACTTAAAAACATCTTCAAGTGATCAGTAACTGCTACAGTGGATTCATTTCTTGTTTACTGGTTCAGGCTAAAACCAAGGTGTTGTTTTGCATCCCCTCCTCCCCCCCAAATGCAAAATTAGTGCATAAATTAATACTGATGGTGAATGAAATTAAAAATATGAACAATGAATTACATACAGTAGCAACGCTGTTAAAGCCAACACACTGGAAAATGTGGAAAAACTGTAAAGAATCTGAATGTTTGCAGTTGGAAGAAACAAAACACTTCTTGTGCCAGATAAATGACAATACACAAACCAAACACACAAGGCCAAGATTACCAGCACAATGGCACCATTGTGTGGAAAAACACACAAAGAAGAATAACTCTTAGCAAATTTAGGATATGGTATATGTATAATAAACCCACTTCAGTAAAACTCATCCAGTTTAAAGTACCTTGTTCGTAATATCAAAATACTTCATGGTAAAAAAATCAGTAATTCTGTGTCAATGCTTCTTCAGTTTAGTCACAACCCATCTTCATTTTGAACAATAAAGCCTTTGTCAAGTGGATCATTCCTGAGCTTTTCCTACACCTAGGAAGACAATTCTGTCGTGGTCATGATAAACGTTTCTTTCTTTACTGAAAGTGGATTCAGAGTCTAAAAACACCACAATGTGACCCATGAATAAACAGCTCTAACTGTCCACTTAGCATCTAATAGATCCAATAACTAACCTACAGAAGCTCATTCTTTAAACTCAATCCAATTGTACGGTGTTCTCTGAGCAACCAGTGCTGAGTAACCGTGTCTGTTAGAAAAGCAGCCGTGGAGCTGTGTGCGACAGAGAGGCAACATTCTGACTTCACTACTCAATCGTTGGCTGAGCACTCAGAAAGAAAACAATCTGTCGTGACTCTCGCATGTCATGTTTCCAACATGTCAACTAGTCTGTTCAAAATCACTATCAATAGCAACAGACTAGAAATAGCCGTGGGAAGACAAGGAAGATACAGTCCTCAAGCAAGGCAGAATAAAAACGTTGAAATACTGAAGATGTACAGAATTCTTACGATTTTTGCATTTTGCTATTTGACTCAATTCTGATTTACTTACCAAGACTTTCTATTTCCTGCTATTGCTACTGAGTGACTGTTGGAAGAACTGCTCTAATATCTCTCTCCTGTTGTTAATAAATAATGAATCATATGATTGGGAAAGGAGATATTTCACAACACAGTGCCTTGAAGGTGATGTAAACAGACGGGGCCGCATTCCAGTGCCCTGAAAACCACACCCTCATATTAAAGGATTTAGATGGGAAAACTAATGAAAGACATAATAATCTAAAATGCATCAACCGCCTTAAAGTAAAATCAGATAGTAGAATATCCTGTCTGTTATAATTACCCTTTTTTAACAGGAATGTCCACTTACAGCACGAGGGACTTGGGGCTCCAATTTCTAAAAAAAAAAATCTTATTTAAAGCCGAAAATTAAAACTTAAAAAAAAAACAAACATCATACCATCACACTAAAAGTTACTTCACACCTCCATGATATAAAAAACAAAAATAAATGCCATTATTCAAACAAGAAATGACATCTCTGACACTCCTCAGCTGGAATGAGGTTTTACCGGACCCTCTGACTGACCCCTCGTGGTGTCATTTCCTGGTGCCGGCTTGTTACCAAAGTTCCAGTCCACAGGATTCAGCAGCTGCATGGTCTTCTTGTGCGTCCAGAGGGGGTTGATGATAACCGTGAGCAGAGCGAGGCCAGTGAAGAAGAGTAGGCGTTGAGGCAGAGCCACGTGGGTGTTGATTTCTCCCCAGTGGGTCAAGGTTACCCACCACATGAAATAAGTGAGGACCATGCGACAGTGGAACAGGTGGACCATCACCCACTGGTTGGCTTTCCAGAACAGAGTGCGTGCCCAACCGGCCTGTCGGGAAGGGACGGAGATGGAAAGAGACAATCGTGTTATTTTACAATAACATCACGTTCTTATGACTTCTAAATGCTCACATGTAATCTGTAAGTAGGAGGAACAGGGAAAGTTTAGGTAGTGCCACAGTCTTCTTTTATAGAACTTCCTCTTTCTAAGAACACTGAACTTTTATCTGTCATCCCACATGAGGTGCACAAGACATAAGAGGAACTGAAACTAGGTGACAGTTCTAGCAATTTCAGAAATAGATAACAAGATTAAGAGAAGGTCAGGCAACTGCATGGGAAGGTACAAGCAGAGCTCACCACAGAAAGGTTTGGCAACTTAAAATTACCACTGAGATTTGGGGTAATGTATGTATGGAGCAAATGTATGACCAGTCCCTTCACTTGACCCCTACCTTCAGTAACATCCAGGATATACAGGTGAACGGCGTGCTCATCTCCAGCAGAAGTGTAACCATCGGCAAGAAGTGACCCAGAGAATCCCACACCACCGCCCCTCCATAACCCGACAGGGCGAAGAAGTGGTGCGTCGCCAGTGGAAGATCAAACGACCGAAATGCCACACTGGACGCATGAAGTGCCACATTTTCAAACGCAAAGAAACCTGTCGCTGTGAGGACATGGAACCACGACCAGTCTTCTTGTCCCCTCACTCTGTCTCTGCTCAACACAGAGTCCTCAGTCAGGGCCCGGAGCCCCGCTACAGTACTCTGGATGCCAAATGCCGCCCGAGTGGCCGCAAGGTTCCAGAAAACCTTCTCCTTAGCCTGCAGGGATTTGTAGGTGCGGCACAGAGCCACAGAGAGGAGGTGGGAGAGGAGGAATATCGCTGTGTAGAAGGCGAATCCCAGGCCGATCAGCTGGAGGCGATAGTCCCATGAGAAGTACTCTGCACTGGGCTGGGTTGGGGGGCTGTTGGTCTGCTGCTCAGAGGCCATGATGGTAAAGGGGGGAAGATACTAGAGCTTAGCTGGGGAGGCTTCACCTGGAGGTGGGACTGAGAGCAGCAGCTGGGACATGCATAGTGTCGGGTCACCTGCAAAACAATTGACAGAAAAAACATAAATCAGCATATTTTAATTGCTACAAAACAACAGTAAGTTTATAGGGCTCTGTAAAGCTAGCATGTCTAGCTCTCCAACTCAAGTACTGTTATTAGCATTATGTAGCCTTTTTTTAACTAGTGCTGAAGTTAGCAACCTGTTTTGGGTTTTTATTTTTGACGACAGACTTTGTAGCTTTTTTTTTTTTTTTTTTTAAAGCTGCGTAGCTTCATTTGAGCCCAACATTAGCTAACGGTTCGGTAAAACGAAGGAACAGGTCGACATCAAATAAAGAGCATCGTCTTATGAGCCAAAGCCAAACTTTTATAACCGACTCCTTTGAAAAACACGATGATTCAGATTAATTTTTTTTAGCCTCAACGACACAAAAAAGAACCGAACGTAGGCGAAACACACGCTAACCACGTATTAGACAGTTTGAAGCAGTTTACTCACCACCAACGGACTACATTCACATCCTCGCAGCACATTACCGAGCCGAGGCGTTTCACTGAACACTGTGTTCAGCAGGAAAACTCACCTCACAAGACTTCAATTTGGTCATGTGACACCCACACAGGAAGTCCCGCCTCCATTGAACATGCAGACCTCCCATTGGCCAAAGCTGCGCGGAAGCAGAATGCTATTGGCTCTTCGTCTGTGTATCACACAGGCGTTGTTGACAAATTGTGGGCTGGCTGAGCCCTGCCCATTGCTTCATGTTTGAACCTTTTAATCTTGGCAAAAGGAATGTTTTAGGCAAATTAAAGTCATTCTACTTTTCCTTTCACATTCAACCTATGTTCCTCATTAATATCACAGTGCGTGCAGGCAGTGTTTTTTTTGTTTGTTTTTTTGTTTTTTAGAAAATGTGTACCTTGGAGTTCGTCTTATTTATGATGATTTAGAGTTATAAGTATGTGTAAAGGTGTCCCTTAGAAATACTTTTTTTTCAGAAATTAAATCTGTGTGGATGACAGACTCTTTAAACAGTCCAGGAAAAGAGATGTAAGTGCTAGCGAGGGAAAAGTTCCCATAACACAACACCCTTAGTTATGTTAATTCACTGTTATTTATTACATTCAAAGAAATTGCAACAAATTGCATTCCAGTAGAAAAATAGCACTGACATTAGTGATCAGCCTCACAAGTTTAAATATTGAGATTAAGACCACAGAGTTGTAGTAACGTTGTCAATTAACCTAGTTATTCAAATGTTACGAAATAAAACCCCACATAAGACTGTATAAAATGCAACTTTGTGTCACTATAATAAATATTTAAGCCAATACCACACAGTCTGATGATCTAATACGAATTAATAATTAACCTAGCTAGTTAGTTAACTAACTAGTAATGAATCAGCAAAAGTACACATAGAAAGCCAACAAATCCAAGGATTCCCTGTGAGCGTTCAGAGCAAATCTGCTGCCTGTGTGGCCGACAGAAAAGTCTGTTCATAGCCTGATAGCAGCTTATCTAACTGTAGCAGCTTACAATAAAACAATAAATAAAATAAAAAATGTTTCCATTGCTGCTCAGCTATCTGGTGCCATATTTTGTTAGTTACTTTATTGGTTCATGTTCTCTGTGTAGTTATGGGGAAGCATCCACACACACAGTAATGTGGCTGCTGCAGACATGCTGCGGTCAGACTGTGGAACTGAAAAATCCACTAAATAAGAATACATGACATGACAGAAAAAATAATCTGACTGTAACCGATCGGAATTTTATGAAGAGTAAAATATTATCCGGATATTTTATTGATTGGAACAACAGATAAATAGATCCAGGGCAATTCTCTTTATTATTCTATTCTATTCTATTCTATTCTATTCTATTCTATTAAAAAAAAGAAAAGTTTTTAGGTCTGAAAATAATATTTAAAGTTAAAGAACACACAATATACTAAACATTAATCACATATTTTATGCAAATGCAAACATAGGCTTTAATACACATTCATATTTTCATGTAGTTGTATTTTAAGGTGTAGGGTGTGGGTCAGATGGATCCTATTGTTGTGATTACAGAGTCAAGCAAATAAACAAATAGTTAAAAATTGCCAAGAAACAGCAAAAGTTCAGTTCTCTTTACTGTACGTTGAAATAAATATTGTTATAAAAATCACAATAATACACCTGATACCATATCTAAATCAAATAAAACAATGATTTCTAATAAGAATTTTTTTAAACTCATGCATTTCTGACTTTGTCCAGTAGGGGTCAACCTTTCATTACATATTTAGGACTGTTAAGTTCACCTTTGTACATTTTTCTTTTTCATTGTAACTGCAGCCTTAGCCCCAGTTTATGACTGGGTGCTGACTGGCAGTTTTATTTTTAGATCTCCTCCTAAAAATAACTACAAATCACTGCCACAACATATCCAATCGATTCTGTTTAGCTGAAACAAAAAGCTTGAAGTAGAAGGTATTATGCATGAACCTACTTTCCCAGAATTTACATTTATTTTATTTTTCTTTGAGCTTTCTTGGGTACAACAAATCACTCCTTTTTGTTTGACCCGTACACTGAAACTTTGCATTCATGAAAATTTTTCTGGACAAATTTCAATATGCCGCTTCGTTTCTCACTAATTACAACTTTATCAGTTTTATCAGTACATGGTGGTGAGAAAATAGAATTTCTTGCACATCACTGCCTAACTTCAACCCTTGTGGGCTTTGCAAAGTCGAGCCCTGATATGTTGTTGTCATATTCTGGCAAACACCTGCAGGAGTGGAGGCAGTGACAGCGCTGCCACTTGGAATCAGCATTGCTGCAGTGCTGCTGTTTCATTGTAGGCTTGGATTACATGAACCTCACCACCGGATACACGTGTGTTCTCAAGCAACTGCATAATAGGCTGCAACATGTTATTATCTGCAACAGTGTTCGCCCTCAGGTTATGTTTCCTGCTTCGCGTCCTCCTCTCAGACATCATTCGAATTTGAATCCTTTTGTTGTGCTGTCAGCCCTAAAAGCTGGATATTATATGATTTTTATATGATGAGAAGTGATTTAGAATGATTTTGTTTGAAGGAATCACATTCAAGGATAAACCGATGATTGCTTTGGGTTTGCTGTGAAAAGCACTTGATTCACTGCATTCCATCACATTATTCTATCAGAGATATAAAGTCAGTGGTGACCTTCATGACACACTTAACCAAGAACAGGGAAAAGTAAATGCACCGATTTCTCTGACAGATGATTCAGAGCTACACTTCATCTTTATCTCGCCGCTATTTTGGTTCACAGGCTGCATACAGATGTATAAAAATGCATTGAATGTCAAGAACATTCTGGTACATTTATTGAGCCTGTGAGTGAAAATCCTGCCACTGGGGATGCTGTTGCTATCAGGATATGCATCGAATAACTGTTGTTTTTGCTAACCCGGATCTGATGTAGCTTAGCATCTGACGGTATGAAATGCATTTTATGTCAATACCTAACATGTTCGAATATGAATATTTTTATTAGCAAAGTAGCAGAGAGTGCATTCTTGCCTTTGCATTCAGACTTTTAAAAGCAGACACCACACAGGCAAAACTTGTCCAAACTTTTTCTCCAAAAAATTTAATTGCAGAATTATTTACATCGGATGACCTAAGCGATGATCAAACTACTTAAAGAGGCGAAAATCTTCCGGTAGCTCAGCTAGGAAAGAACGGGGCGAATGCATTATGTTGTTACAAACGACTAAAAGAACACAAAAGTGACTCAACCTACACTGAAATAACACACTCTGAGGAAATGCATATGTGATCGAACGAAATAAATAACAAATACACATCAGTGTGACATAATTTTAACCGAAAAACAAAACAAAAAAACGAATAAATAAGCCTACATTCAGAATCAGTGTTTCGCATGCCATCATATCAGCTTATAAAACAACCATAACAAAGTAAAAATGACAACAGAACATGAGCAAGAGCAGAAAATAGTCATGTTTCAATGGAGCATATATTATATATTTATATATCTATATATATTTCTTTACAAATAATGAATATTTGGCATTATATTCATCCTCACTATAGATATGATATACAAGAGATGAAAATAGTTTTAGCTAAACAACTACCTTTTTCATTTTTATCTAGTAATTATAGAGTTGTTTCACATTCCAAGTTCAAGGAAGTGTTGTATCAGTCTACGTCTCAGTGAGTCTGATGCTCTTTCCACGGCATGGTTACGAAAAAAGTCCCCCCTTGAAATACTTCACATCATGGGTTCTAGAGTTAAAAGCGGATAAGACAGTCGCACCAGAAGTGAGGCCACAGAATGCTGAGCTGAAATGATGGAACTACTGGAAATGGGGGGATAAAGGTGGGCAGAGATGGGTTGATGAAGGATACGTGGCTGTGGGGGTAGTGATGGTTTTACAGTATGCTGGATAAAACATGGCACTTGTAGTTAGTTAAGTTTAAATAAGAGGATTTTTGTCCTTGGGTTTTTCACAAGTTTTTTGATGGGTCACCTAAAAAAAAAAAAAAGATGTATTCTCAAGTTCCCTCCAATGTGCGTCAACCAGAGGGATCCAGCATAGAATACTCACTGAAATAAGCTCTAAGGAAATACAAGATGACTTTGTAAGAGGAGACCTTGGAGCATCTAACCGCACCTATTTGGACAAAAAAATGAGTGAAAGGGTAGAAAGAAAGAAAAAAACTTTTTTCAGTGTGACCCAGCCATTACAGCAGTGGAGAGGCTTTGCTCAGAGTTTACAAAATGCCTCTGAGTGAGTCTCAGGTGTTCTTTTTTTTTCTACTGGAAGGAGAATGGTGATTTCTGCAAACCCAGTTCTTACCTCTTGCTTTAAATCTACTACCGCTTGTGCGTCTTTGTCAAGATTTCCTGCCTCCCCAGGTGACGCTTTGGATCTCGCTTTACAATTTGAAATTATGCGTTCATGATCTGACTAGAAAAAAAAAACGCTCTCGTTCCAATTATGCGAACGCTTCTTGAAGGCGCGAGAGACACGCTTTTAAACCGAACCCATGCGGTGGATACGCCGCACGTTTCCGCAGCCACCGCTCAATTTGCATCAGAGAAACGCTCCTCTGATGAATCGGCGACAGCCTTCGGTGAAACGAGCCCGGCAGAGACTGACAGAGGCAAATACATGTAGTGCTGATGCTTAAGTTCTACAGTATAGGCCACTATTCAGCAATACATTTATCAACACCAGCTTTGAAGGGCCTTGGAGGCTGTTTGCTTGATCTCACCAAGGACCCAAAATCTTACATAAGCTGCTTTGCTTAGTCAATGCAGGCTGAAAATTACCCAGCACAGCGCCCAGCGATCCTCACAGAACAGCCTTCCAGCGACACAACAGCATACAGCACCAGCAGTTTGGGGCTCAGAGCGGAGCTCTCGTCTCCTCTAAGCCAGCATATGTCAGACTGAGTCTGTCTCTCTCCCGTCTGCCTGCCACTGTGGCAACAGCAGGGGAACGTCTCGGCTCTGCCAACTGCCTGGCATCACACGCCCAGACGCTTTCCAGAAACCCACTGTCAGACTGTTAAAGGTCCCTGCCTCTGCAATGAAAAACCAGCAGAATTAAAGATGGGTGTATGTATGTGTGTTCCTTTTAAAAAAGTCGAACACTCAGCCACGGGCTATTAAAAGACAAAATCCGTAATTGAAAAACGGCACCGCGTGTGTGTGAAACGCCGCTACTGTACGGGTCACCTGGTGATTTGTTGGACTGAAAATACTTTTCTTTTTTTAAGCTCTTGTCTGAGCTCTGCTGCAAGAATTCTGGCAACGGAACAACGTGTCACGCAAGGTTGGCTGGAAACAAATCAGAGTAAAACACATCTATGCTTGGAGTCAGAACGGGTTCAGAGCTCTGCTTTGTGTCTTCAAGGACTCTGCGTGTGAACACAAGAAGAATAGTTAAAATAAAATAAAGAGACAGGACTGCATTTAATCAAGAATCCAATGGTATCCCAAATAATTAAATAACACTCTGCTGTGTGTTGATGGCACATGGACGTCGTGTATCCATGTGTGTGTGTGTGTCGGGGACAGATGCAGGTCAGGCCACAGTTGGGTAGAAACAGGGAAATCAACTCAGAACGCACACACACCCCAGATTCAGCCTCTCTTTTCTGAGTAGGTCAGCACTGCGCTACAAAAACAAGATGCACACACACACACACACACATCAACAAAACACACACACACCAAATATTCAAATCCAGAGAAGTGTACTTTGTTTTTATGTAATGAATCTCCCCAGCGCTACCTAGAATGAAGCCAGGCACTCTGGCACAATTACTCAACGGAAAATCTCAAAGTCAGAAAAATAGAATTTTTAAGTGTCGTACCGAACGGCGCGCAGCACATCATGTCTCGACTGATTGTTTGTCTAGTAGTGTGCTGATTAAATAAAAAGCAGCACCATTTAGTTGGTTGATTATCCAAAGGTTTTACTAATAGTCTTCAGGTGGGTGATCTGAATGGAGGCTAACGTCCAACGTTTCATAACAAAGCAGTGACTTTAACTCGATGGATAATAGCAGGTGTTCAGCTTTACTAGTACAGGATTGGCTGATTCCTACTTTTACTTCTCATGAGTTTCCGCAGTTTAGAAAGAGTTGGAAACGTCTGATTATGCTATTTCAACACATGTTATGAGCATACTGACGTGTGGTTTGGTGGGTTTAAATGTCATTTACAGGTTATATTATCTCTAAAATACATTCATATCGAGTCAGATTGACCAACCACATCGACAACTCCGGCAACACTTTGTTTAGTCCCCAAGCACGGATAAATATTTCATCACGATTAATCTCTAGAATTTCACCAAATCTCCACTGACACATGTAACAACTAGAGGACAGAAGAGCTGGATTGAACCAAACCCTGGAGCGCATCTCAGACCTCGCCATCGCGTTTTAACGCCGTATTAACATCCCATTCCTCGTGTGTTTCCTTTCAAAGTTTTTTTTTTAGTTATTTGAGACTTTGCTGCTCGGATCCCTCTGGAATGCCTTTGCCCCAATTTTGGTTTCATTATTTCCCATCGTTTCCTGGAGGGGAGTCAGCTACCATATTGCTCAGGGAGACTTTCGACAACACACAGAACTTTTCAAGAAACGCGAGAACGATGAAGCGTTTCTGAGATTAAAGAAGCTCGTATGCAGATATTTTGTTTATGCTTCGACTCTTCTTTTTTTTTCTTCTCCTATCGCTCCTCATTAACTGTGGCTGAGGGCGCTACTTGAAAGGGCCTGAGAAAAAGTATATTAGATGAAAACCCAGCTGCGTGGTTTCGTGTGTGTGTGCGATCGAGCCGTTGCGTGTGTGCAACAAATCCAGATTTGTCAAAAAAAAATACAAATCAACAGAGAGGGTAGACAAGCAGCAGACATGAAGGGAAAAAAAAATAACCATGATGAATATTCTTCCCACTCACAATTCAAAAATACAACAGTACTATTGTGAACTTGGGTATGTACATTTCCCTTGGAAATAGAGAGAATTGTAATAAGTGCATAAGTGCATTTGTCTACACATTTTGATCTAAGGAGTTACACAAACCTTCCTAGTTGTTTTTTTATTTCTTCGTTTTTTGTTTTTTTTTTGTTCTACTGCATTGACAGAATGAAAAATGTTGGCACAAGACTTGCATGTTTTCAGCTTCAAGTAAATATCTGAAAGTTGGGAACATGAGATATATCGGAAAGTCGTGGTGAAATGTGCGTGTTGATGAGCTGACGGGTGTCATTCTTCCACCAATCCAGACCATGAAGGATGTTTGACTACAACCAGATTGGGTAGAAAGCTGCATTTTTTTGTTTATTTATTTTTTTTCCAACACTGACCAGTCCAGAGCTTATTAAGGGCTGCCTGAATAACCTTGGATGGGTGACCAGTGCCACATGCGCAGAGTTGAGGTATTTCAAGCATTGGCACTTCTCAGAGATTTGAACTTACAATAATTTAGTGATATTTCGATCGTAATTTAAAAGAACATAGAAACAATCATAATGTTAACTTATTGAAAAAGGGTTTGATCGTTTTTGAACAACTTAAATATATTTCCTCTTGTTTTTTTTTTTTTTAGCTCAAAGGCCTGGTTGCTGGTAGGTTTTCAAAGCTGCACTTTTTAAATGGCACTTTGCAAATGCTGAAAAACTACAGACGCACCCATCCAGGACACTAGATGAGAGAGAGAGAGAGACAGAGAAAGAGAAAGAGAGAGAGCATGTGGGCTGGGCATCCTGATCACCAGCGAACCGAGGAAGGGAAAAAAAAAAAAAAAGAAACCCAACCGACCCCGTGTCAGACGTACATTTTCGCTAACACTTATTCTGGCAATGGGAGAGGAGCCTTGGCACATCCTGCAGTCCGATGGTGTTGGCGATGGGCACTGAGGATGGCTATCGAGATCAGACAACGGATGGATAAAGGAAGAGGATAAGAGAGAGAGAGAGAGAGAGAGAGAGAGAGAGAGAGTAGCGGTCTAGAAAAAAGGCTAGTTTTAAAGTTGTTTGAAACGCGGGAGGCAGGGAGACACCCTGACCCTATCTTCTCAAAGTCTAGTCTGAGCCTCTGGAATATAGATCTCAATGCTGTCCGCTCGCTCTGAGGCTGAGTTCTGCCGGAAGGAGGCCGCTCGCTTGGCCGCCATGAGCCGCCGACGGGCCTCCTGCCGGTGCCTGTCGGGGAGGTCCAGGGATTTCTCCCTCGTTACTGCACTCTTCTGTCGAACTGTCTTCTTTGGTACGGGAGCTGGTGGCTTTAGGAGGAAGAGAGAATATTGAGGAAGGGGGGTGTGAACTCTTTTAGACAGTGCATAGAATAGCAGTTCCAGTGTTTCAGATTTTTTGATAAGATAAAAAAACAAAACATGCATCTCGTGGCTGACTCACGTTGTCATGGGGACTCCTCACCTTCTTTTCTGGGCTGTCGACTGGCCTCCAGTTGTTGTTCTTCATCTGCTGCAGCTGGTCAAACTTCATGGTGACGTCGTCGATGGAGAGCTGCAGCAGGTCCCAGAACCCAGCCAGGTCCTGAGAGGTGGGTCGCGGCATGGCACTGGGGTCCTGCAGGCGAGAGGAAGCACAACAGAGATTATTCACTCCATCGATATATCGACTCCGAGTAGCGAGCCAGATAGTCTGAGGTCTAAAAAAAAAAAACCCAGCACAAGCCCACGTCATGCAGATTCTGTTCACTGCACTTCACCCTGGAGCCACTAGATGTCCTTATCAGACTCGTCAAAAAAAAACAAAACCAGGCCCGAATACCAGTTTGAGGGCTTTTTTTTGTTGGGAAAAATGAAGCCTAACAACTTGTGATGGAGACCAGTCCTGTCACAGTTTCATGAATGAGGTCTGAAATAATAAAGTGCCTTTGTCAGCTCAGTCCTATTCATCACTGGAGTCCTCAAATGAAAGGAACATCAGATTGAGAGGCGCTTCATTGTCTCAGCGACTGGCTGGCAGTTTGCTGCGGGTTTTAATGAGTCATGAGATCCTGGATAATGTATGAATTTGCCACTTTCTGTTTGGGTTTTTCTCGCATTGTGTCATCATCCCTCTCACACTGGAAATGTTGGTGTGTATTTATAGCAGTGAAAACAACACTGATGACTGTCAGACTTCTGCACATATGAACAGAGAAGCTCCAGATGGGAAATACAAGAGCAAGTTTTGGAACTATGGGATGCTAATGCACAGGAACACAGCTTCATGTTTAACCCTCTGATTATCTTTTTGACCCCATTCAGTGTTTACCATCTCTATAAATCACTGATATAATTTCTTCAGTTTCATTTAAAGGGATATTTACACATAAACTTGGGCAACAATTTTAACAACGATATTTTCTGGAGGTTTGCTGGAGTCAAATTGAACCCAAAGATAAACGATGTCAGTAAATTAGAAGGTAACAGGAGGGTTAAGAGGAAACTATATTTACAGAAAGTGTTAGATTTTTTGATTTGTGACACATCTTTAAAGAATTTGCACCAACTGACTTTAAACTAATGCAGAAAACAATTTGTGTGATCCTCATTTGTTCTGAGACAACAACACTACACGCATTAATATTTCAATGCTCAAAATCCAAACTGTATAATTTGTGTTGTAGTTTTCTGTGTGTGGCTCCAGCATCATGAAATCCTGTTGATTTGTGGAAAATGTCTTGAACTAAACATGCGCATGTTATTAACCTTTCGTGCGTTACGGAGTTTATTTTACTGAATAATATATTTTTTGCGATAAAAAGTGCACATTTTTAACCAGAACCTCTGAGCTTTATGGCACAGCGCTTTCGAGATCATTGTCTCGTCATGCATGAAGCTCCTTTAGCGACACATCATTTATTCACAGAACAAGATGCCACTGATGCTAATGACACTTTTTGATTTCTTCCTGCCCGCTGGATCTGCGACTCTCGCTACCGTATGCTACCTCCCAGATTTCAGAAATCGTGCACCCGGTTCAGCAAAACATCTGTGATGTGACTCGACAACCCCGGAGATCCTCTCGCTCTAAACTTTGTGACATTTAGATTATGTGGCTGGTGAAGGTTGCTGCAGCCTGATGATCCAATAGACTAACAGCGTGCTAGCAGGACTTGGCATTTCCCTCCGCTGCAGTCGTGGGTGTGTTATTACATTACT